CACACACACACACACACACACACACACACACACACAATGTCCATATTTTTCACAGAACAAGCCCAAACATCATGCTGGTCTTGTGACAAGTCACCACCAGTGTGTTTTGACTTCAGCTAGTACAGTATCACCGTTGGATGGGGGCCAGAGCTGGAAGCACACTTCTGAAAGTTCCTGAGAATTTGATGACTAGAAATCCAGATATCCCTGATAGTGGAGCAGCAATGTACTGTAGTCAGAAAACACTATTTCTCTCATCTAATTTTTTAAGGCCAGATCATTCAGCCTTTTCATGTACTTTTTGAGTAATTCTTGGAAAGAAGTCAACATCCTAGTAATGTAACTGCCATGGGACCCTGATTCAAACAATCTGAAACAAACCCTCACGTGACCCTGAACTCAGAAAATCTAATTCTCAGCTTGACAGATGACCTGATTCTATTGCTTTCTCTTTTCTGAGTAAAAGCTAACTCAGTTACAGTTACTCACTGTGAAGAACTCTGCATACACGTGTGCGTACGTGTGTGTGTGTGTCACTGTGCCTGTGTTATGTGTGCATATGTGTATGAAGTTCATGATTTTTATTATAATTTTTAAATAACATAGTAGATAAACATCCTCAAGCAAGAACCTAGGTGCTTTGTTGGGGTTCATGTATTAAAGCTGCTTGCTAAGAGATTTTGAAGGAAGTTGAAAAATAACTCTACAGATACCAGGTTAGATACATCCTCATTAGTTTTGGAAGAATTGGAGTCAAAGGAGTCAAATAAATCAATTTCAGTCAGAAGATAAAGAAGAAGACTGTTCAGGAAAGCCACTGTGCCTGAGGTTGAGATCACATTTCAGTGGAAATTATTTGGGTTTTAAGCCAACATAGGAAAAAAGAATTTGTTCTGAAATTTATTGCCCCAGCTTGAAGGAAGTATCAGTGACCACATGTTGAAAATGCTGCATGGCCCCAGAAGGGTTTCCTCTTGATCCCAGGCAGGCCTTGTGTAGTTAACAATGGTAGATGCAAGGTACCTATGTATAAAACCCAAAATCAGACTGGCTGGTGTCTAACTACAGTTTGGGACTTCCAGTGTTGAGGTAAGTTGAGCATCCTGGGGTAAGTCTATGTGATTTTCCTTTCATGCTTAAGGCAGGGGGCTCTAGTCCCACCTCCCCAGACACCAGAGAAAATGACCAGAAGAAGATTCCTCTGGAAGCACTGATCTTCCTGCCCTTCCTTCAACTACTATGCCAAAGGATGACATGGAAAATAAAGAATGAGCCAAGCCAGACTCCTAGTTACTGCAGAAGCACTCATCACTGAGAATGTAGGGACTAAAGGAGTTGCAAAGGAAGTTCAAGTGAGATCCTTAGGATTTCCACTGCTGTATACTTAGCTATATGCTATTTGAGGATCTCAATTATTCAGTGTCTTTGTCCTTTTTCAGTGTGAAGTGTTTAGGGGTTACAGATCATAGATTCATACTCATCCAAAATGATTGAGGACAGATGCAGTCTAGCTAATTGTCTATTCATCCCAACAGTATTTACTCAGCTCTGCGGGTATTGCTTTCAGAGTCTGTCTTCATGTCTGACTCCGACCACTCTGAGTTCCTGTAGGGTCTTTTCTTCATTGCTTTTCCCAGTGGCTACTCAGTACCTCACATTAAGAGACTTTTTTTTCTATGTATTTTTTTAATTAAATTCTTTTATTGGTACATTGTAGGTATACAACACAATTACATTTCTCATTGGGAATTGTACCTTTACATAATGCATCTTGGTTCTTATTT